AATTGCCCAATAAATGTTTTAATGTAAGTGAGTGTTGATGTGTCTGAGGTCTTTTCATTTATATACTTAATTCTATCTTTAAGAGAAAAGTTTGTGTTTTTACAGTTTTGAACTTAAACATATCAATTAGTCTTTGAGTTCAGCGTCCAAAGTGACAGTAGAGACTGTGGTTCAGTCCTGTCTAGACCCTTTTTGATTTAAAAAAAAGGTGCATTCATACACCGAGAATAGTCACTCATGGTCTCTTTGAGCTTTTTGCAGAGTGGGCAGTAAACCTCCATACATCCAGCATAATCATATGTTCTGTATGCCTGCACTGTTTACTGTATGAAAGCTCAGCTGTAAAAAGAGTATGGTTTCCTCTGAACACACACAGGAATGCATGCTTCATGAAAGAACAGATTTGTCAGGTAAAGTCATACTTAGCTGATGTTTGACATGCTGTAAAATGAACACACACACACAACCACATTTACCCTCATTGCTCTGGCCCTGTTCTATTTTACAAGTCCTTAGTTAATTTAATTAGTGGCATACGCATATACGCACAGACTTAAGAAGTGTAAGCTCAAAGATTGACATATTGACCTGCTATAAAGAAGTCATTGATACACGGTAGCTAGGTAAAAATTATAATTAAAACAATTAAAATAGTTAACTCAAAGTAATAGATCAATGGTGACAAAATAAACCAGATTTTTTTTTTTTTAATTGTTAGCTTTTCCCAGTACATAGACTACAGGTCTTTGAAGATCTTAGCTAAAAGGAAAGGATAGATGCTTCAACTATAAGCTAACAATATAAAACCAGGGTTGCCAACTTTGGGTACCTGGCTGGAGGGAGATTTTGATATCATGGGTTTAATTACACATATGCGCACTAAATGGCTGCTATCGTGTCAGTAGCGGGACCTTAGCATATATATAGGATATATATACAAATACACAATATTGGACACAGACTATAAAGGGCACACAGTTTCAGTCACTAATGAAAGTCAAACACATGTTTTTTTCCACTGTTTTATTGTGTGCCTGTCGCGATAAGCAATTAATTGACTTATCGTACGATAAATATAAATGAACTCAATAAATTGACATTTACATGAGGTTGTGACTAGCAGTTTGAAAGGATGTACTTGAACTATTATTATATATTATCATTATGTCAGTGGTCTAAAATGGTCATACAACGGTGCCGACAATATTATCGTTTATCGCAATCATTTCTGGGAAAATGTATCCAACAAAATGAATTATCGTGAGAGGCCTATAGTTAAATGTTTGTATTGTTTAGCACCGTTTCTGGTGGTTTGGGTTATCAATAAACATCATTAGCATGTTAGCATGTTAGCATGGCGTATTTGATTTGTGGTGTGATTACATTTATGAAACCAGTGGTGATCCTAGAGTCGGTGGGGCCCTAGGCAAACATTCACTGGGGACACCTCGAACCAGCTTTTCATCACCACGCTCAGCCGACAGCTCCCCGGAGCTATGCATGGGGCCGCCTTGAGGGGGTTTCCCGACATGTCGTTGCAGTAAATTAAAGGGTGTTTCATGTTGTCGTTGCTGTGGACCTTCTTAATCTACCTTCTTTGGGGGCCTCCTTCTGGTCCGGGGCCCCAAGCAGTTGCCTGCCTTGCCTGTTCGCATGGAGCACCCCTGTATGAAACAGGCTGTTCCTACAGACGGGTAATCCAGGGTGCAAAGACAGCAGCCTGTGTTGTTAACAAGACTACTTTCTATTAAAGAGGCATATCCATTGTACTCCGCTTTAGGAGAAGATGCAAATGGTTACTGAAGTTGACAAATGTGCAGCATATGATCAACAACAACTATAAACCAATGCACAAAACGATTAGAAAATGCTCAGAAATGTAGGGTTTATTTAAGAACGAACTGTCTGTCCTTGTTTTTCTGAAAAACTAAAATACTTCTTATCACCATCAGTGTGAAACTTCCAATTTAACATTATTTGAAGAAAGGATATTATTGGACAAGCTACCGAAAGGATAGATATTTAACTAGAAAGGCACTTGTAAGAGCTCCACAAAGACAAAATAAAGCTGGTAATATGTGACGCTATACCTGTAGAAGTCTGTGTTTGTTTAGTTAATTAAAGCATTCTTTAATGAAATCCCCCAATGATGTTAGTACCAATCAGCTCTCTGTTGTGTTGTGGCGTCAGAACGCTTCCAAACAAGTTAATCCTCGATCCTCCCTTAGATTCACATGTTCCACACGCAGGTGCTACATCATTACAGCGAAACTTTCAGTGTCATTATTTCACCACAGTTTAGATGTTCTGACCAGGCGAGGAACATTTCATATTATCTTAAATGTTAACAACACATCATTATGGCAATTAAATATGGGTTTTTTCAGTCATCTCTTCCAAAAAATATGTATATAGGAAGTTTTAAGGCAACTTGACTTTTCTACTTACATACCTGGTGTTAATCAGATTAATCAAAGTATAAGACTGGTTTTTTTAAGGATAAGAAGGAATTTAGTTGTAAAATAACGTATACTGAAGATAATGGGAAATGTAATGTTTTGGGAAGAAAGACGACACCTACTCTTTTTGGTGTTAAAATACCATAATTTTCACACCCAACGATGTCCTAAAGCCAAAAACCTGATCAAACTAATTATTTTCCTAAACACTTTTACAGTATTGAACCTACAATGTCTTCTAACTCAATCAAAGCTTCAATTTATATACCAGAAAGAAGACGTGGCTTGTATTCATGTTCATGTTGTTTGTTTTCTTGGTCACAGTTAATCCATATATCTATATCTATACCAATAATAATCTAATCCCACACGTGGAAAACAGCTTCTCACATGGACTCACAACAAGCAGATCGTCGCCTCTCAAAGCTGGGGTCAGGCGTGCTGAGGTTTAAGAGGAATTAGCCAGATTAATCTTTGACATTCTCTTCTCAGTAAATTGGGTGATGTGAACAAGGACAAATAGACTCTGGGATGAAGGGGGTTGTGAGAGGTTTTCTAGATTTTTCTGGGGGGGCACATGTGACTGGAAAGAGGAGGATGTTGGGATTAGAGAAGATATAAAAGCACAACACAGGACTGCGCACGTCAATAACTCAAAGAGAATAGAGAAGCTGATCGGCGGTGGCCTCTTGGGATATCTGTGACAACAGGTGAGAGAAAACTAATGCAGGATATTGAGAGTCCAATTAGACATTAGATGAGGATGAATAAGAGTTTAACAAATGGGAAATGGCTAAAACTGTAATAACTTGAATGCAAACTGTAAAGAAGAGAAGAATGACTTAAGACTGTCTTGGCTGGCAATATGGTTTGATGTTGGACTTTAAATGACTTAAGGTGGATTGAAAACTGTTGGTTGGAGTATAGATAAAGTCAAGTTTACATGTGCAATTGAAACAAACAAAGAAAGGCAGTAGTACAAAGTTGAAGTCGGTGACAGGTGTGTTTTTTCTAATACCCTCGCGTAAAGAGGATTAACATTAAGGGGTTTGTTAAGGGCTTTTTTGTTTTCCTTATTGTGTTTCCACGCAGAATCATAGGAAGATAAGACCTCAATCTAGATCTGTTACTGCTAATGCAACCAATGCTTGTGTTTCAACTTAAAGCAGGGTTGGTTTTCCATCACGGACACATTGCTGTAATGGGATTATCAGGGTCGGACGTCAAAGGAAGTTGAAATTGTGGAGCCGCAAAAGATTTGAACGTTTGCTTATGATCAAGTTTCAAGATTCAAGGCTTTTATTTGTTATGTGTACATAGCTACAGTGTAGTTATGACAATGAAAATCTTAGGTCACAGGCTCCTCCAACAGTGCAACACAATAACACAGATAAAATAGTACAAGTAAATAAAATAGAATATAATAGAAACAGAATATGATAGAAACTGTGCAGAATAGTCTAGTAATTGGAATATTGATATATGTGAGTTGCAAACAGATGAATGTTATGTATGTTCTTGTGACTTTATTAGCAAGTGTTATAAGTAACATCATCAGGGTGTCTTATGGCGCATTTCCACTACAGCGCGGAGCTCGCTTTAAGCGTGCCGTGCCCGGCCCGTTTTTGGTTGCGTTTCCACTTGGCGTAGTTCCGGCTAGCGGGTACTATTTCACAGTTTTCTGGCCCCATAAAATCGAGGTTCTTTCCAGGCCAACCAGGCTGAGTCGGGCTGAGTATGCTAAACTAGAGAGAGAATCGCTGGCAAGGGGGCTACAACTACAACAAGATGAACATATTTGACCGTGATTTAATTGTAATACACGTTTCAAAATGATGCCGAAGTAACAACATACTGATACCAGTTAGTAAAAACCATGAATTAATGCTTTGACAAGTCTGCAGACAGACGGCAGGCGAAAAACATTTTAAAATGCGTGTTTTCTAAATGGAGATCGGCTAAGCTAACGCAGTATATGCTCCGACCGTCCACACTCACAACAACGGCCTATACAGACATAAATAAAGCAGCGACTATTCGCCATGACACAGACAGTCTGTGGTTTGTACTTGTTTAACTTTTGTCTAGTTTCTGAACAGATATTAGGAGCTGTGAGCTCTGAGTGCTAAGAGCTAACGTTGGTTTTGTGGTTCTCATTGAAGATGACGTCACGGCTCCGCCTACACTGTGTTACTATAGTTACTGCCCCAGCTACTAAACTGTAATGGAAACGCAGCATAAAGTGAGCCAGTCCTAACAAGGCCTAATGAGGCCTAACCATACCGAGCGAGGCCCTATATGCGCCATAAATTGAAAAGGCTGAGGTCCGAAAGCATGTCCGTGATTTCTGAGAAGGGCAATTAGCCGTCTGCGCCATCAGAGCGGGATTAAAACTAATCTGGCTGTAGGAACTAATCTATGTAATCTCCGCTGATTAGCATTGAAAGCTGGGAGGAAACAGGATTAGCAGAGGGCATCAGAGGGGGGGGGTAGATGTAGAGTAAATGTCAGTGTGGTGACCCTTGCCTTCTGTCTTTTCAGAGACCCTCAGCAGAAATGAACAGCGCCCCCCCTGCAGGAAGTGCTCTGACCCCTGGGAGCACAACGGGCCCCACCACGCCCAAAAAGGGACCCCCCAAATTCAAGCAAAGGCAGACGCGTACATTCAAGAGCAAGGCACCAAAGCCAGGCCAGAAAGGGTAAGAGCAACAACTCATATTGAAAGTCAAAGTCAACTTTATTGTCAGTCTTTCAGTTTGTGTGGAGAGATCGAAATGATTGTTTCCCACAATCCCGAATACAAAAACAAATATATGTATGCAAATATGTAGATAGGCTATCTATATATACAAAATGAAAGACACATTTATACATATGCACACATTAAGACCTAAATAAAAGCACAACAATCAGTATAAAATAACAGTCACTTCAATATCTTTGAAAAATGAAAATGAATATCCGCTCGTTGTACACCCATTTCTAAAAGATTTGGGTACAGTAAATGCAACCAAATCAAATCAAGGCAAGTTTATTTCTGTAGCACCATTAAATGCTTTTGTAGTGACCACGATATCCATTTGTTTTAGTCTTTTGTCTGTGATTCACTGGGCTGCGCTTGTTGTTGAGAGAAAAAATAAAATAAATGTCCAGATGCGATTGAAAAGTACAATATGCTTGTGTATTCCAAAAAGGAAGTGGAAAAAAATAAATAAACGTTTTCAAACAAACTTTTTCTCATGCAAACTGATACTTCAAATATTAAAGTCAAAATAAGGAACCAGGCTCCCAAGAAGGTCTAAAAGGATAAATTAATATAAACTAAGGGAATGGCTTTATAAACTAGCAGCAGTATTCTGAAATCTATTAAAGGTCACCTATTATGCAGAATCCACTTGTCTCTTCTACATCAACATGTGTCCCCTCTTCTTCATGTCTCTTCTACATCAACATGTGTCCCCTCTTCTTCATGTCTCTTCTACATCAACATGTGTCCCCTCTTCTTCATGTCTCTTCTACATCAACATGTGTCCCCTCTTCTTCATGTCTCTTCTACATCAACATGTGTCCCCTCTTCTTCATGTCTCTTCTACATCAACATGTGTCCCCTCTTCTTTATGTCTCTTCTACATCAACATGTGTCCCCTCTTCTTCATGTCTCTTCTACATCAACATGTGTCCCCTCTTCTTCATGTCTCTTCTACATCAACATGTGTCCCCTCTGTGGAAAGAGATTCTGAAAGTTTCAGGAAAAAAGATTCTCTCTCTTTTTGTCCTGATCCATTTCTATAAAAACCTGTCTGAAAATGAGCTGATCAGATTTTGGCCACTTTATGATGTTTGTAGCCATTAGCCAATCAGCAACCAAGGTAACCCCCCCCCCCCTTATCACCTGAATGTCCTCCTAGAGCACCATTGTGTTCTTTGTAACCAAATCTCTCTCAGAGGGGCGTGGGGAGGGGCTCCTTATTTTCATCTAAAGTAACAGAATCAGCACTTTGGAAACAGGGCTGAAACAGAGGGGATTATGGGTAATGCTGCAATGATCTGTTTGGTATTTGGAGACAAACACTTCAGAGACATGTTTTGGATATATCTGAGACCTGTGATATATTGATGAAGAACAGTATAATAGGGGAACTTTAAATCACCTTCCTGCTTGTGTTCTGTCCTCCAGATTTGGCGATGATATCCCCGGCATGGAGGGTCTCGGCACAGACATCACGGTGGTTTGCCCCTGGGAAGCCTTCGGCGACATGGAGCTCAGCGACTTGGCCAAATACGGCATCATCTAAACCTGCTGCCTTCCTCTCCTTCCTGCACCTTTCCTCCGCTTAATCCCCTCCTCCCGGCTCGGCACGCCGCGATAAGGCTGCCCGAGAAACCCCCTAATGCCCTCTCATGCTTCGCTCCACTAAGTGGATAGAAAAGCATAAATATGGAGTTATTTCTATTATTACATAATTACTGTTTATATTATATATATATATATATATATATACTTGAAATGAGAAGACGAGAAAAACCACCTCTGTTATTCCCCTCATCCATCTTTGATAGTCCTTTCCTTTCCACCTCTCCCCCTTCGATACTAATCACCCACGGTAATGGACGCAAGCAAAACACTAGTCATTACTAGAGTGTATTTGCTTTTAGCTGTCTATAAAAATGTAAATATTTTGTTCTCAGCATTTTGACCTTGTACTTCCATCCTACCTTTTGTACTTCCTCCTGCTTTTATTTTGCGTTGTATTTTGTACTCCTTGTGAACACCAGGTTACTGTGAACACCAGGGGATGCAAGGAGAGCGTGCAATATTGCTGTAATGGTGAAAACTACAAAGGGTTTTTCACTTGATCATGGAGGATTAACTCCCTTTTATCCCAAGTCTATCTCCTTGCTGCTATCTGAACCCATGTCCCTCTCCTTAGAGCAAACAAAAGCATGTACTGTTTGTTTTGTGCTCCTAGCACAACACCACACATAATGTACTGTGAACGGTCCTGATAGCCGCAATAAAATTAGAATATTTTAATTAATCTTGTTGTTTTATTTCTGGAACACCTCACAATGATGGAAGGTTTTAAACATATCCAACTATCATGACTACAAATGACTAACAAGGGCCTTGGATCAGGAACAAAATGACTCTCATTCCCGGCAGTCTTCTAACTCGAATTGATGACATTTCCTTCTGTGTCTCCTGACCACAATGATGTCTGAGTACATCTAATAATAATTACCGCTCACTTTAAGGCTTCCTGACATCAACCCACTCCGACAAGGCTCTCTGTTGGAAAAGGAAAACAACAAGAAATGATATCAACAGTTCTTTATCATCTCACATAGAACAATAAATGATAGCAAGTGTAAGATCCATCTCACAGATCAAACCCCTGATTGTTGTCATACAGTAAGTTCTGGGACCATCGTATCACAGACATTATTAATCGTATTTTTATATAGACTCATATAATCCTTTTCTACTGAACTTTAACGAGAGTCTCCACCCACACTGACAGCAACAACCGAGCTAAAAGCTAACAACAGTTTTCCAGACACACCCTTTTTGAATGGCAGTGGATATGAGCGTTGTATACATGGTTTAGAGGAGGCCTTATACACCAATGAGTATGATCATAATGCCTTTATCATATATTCACATGGTGGCTCTCCTTTACATATAAGGCAGTGATATCTAGCAGCTGTAGTTTAATGAAGAGGTCCGCTGACGAAACATAGAGATTGATAAATTACGCTTAGGGTTTGTGGGAGAAAGCGGGAAGGAATGATGAATGAGTCAAACTAAATCTTATGTGGCATACTTTAACCCAATCCATGATCTTTTAACTAAAACTAGCCATGTAGATTTGGCTTGTAACTGAAAACTGAAACCTAATGAAACTGCCACCCTGTCATAACGTTCGTAATGCACTTACTTCCCTAGTGGTTGGTTTAGTTTGCCCTTTCTGAAGTCTTAAAGTAGTACTTCTAATGTCCTTTAATAGGGAAATGCATCAAACCTGCAATAACTCCAATGGCCAACTAGTCTGGGAAAGAAATACAGATTATAGAGAAGTTTATGAAGTTGTGTCTTCCTGGTCGAATGTACTTATTGTAAGTCGCTTTGGATAAAAGCGTCAGCTAAATGCAATGTAATGTAATGTAATGTAAAACACTCTTTCACTCGTGATTTATAACCTCAGTTAACATTTCCTGGATGACTTAAAGGTCTATAGCTTCTGTCAACATCCTTCTTACACTTGCTATGTTTCCATTTAGATACTTTTAGTCTAATTTTGAAGTATCCCAGTGGAAGTGTATTCACTCTGAACCAGTTGATTAAGACGTCAATAATCATAGTCAATTTCATAGTAGTCAAAACTACTTCTAATGTCCTTTAATAGGGACATGCATCCAACCTGCAATACTTCCAATGGCCAACAGGGGGTGACACAACTAGTCTGGGAAAGAAATACAGATTGTAGAGAAGTCTATGAAAAAGACACTGGCCGTTTCTCAATCTCGAGGATACTGGCTTCCAAGCCAATATTTCAAGGATGCTACGTCATCGAGTGCCGCCGAAGTACTGTTTCCAATCTCCAGTATACTTGGAATTCCACCGAGGCCGCGTCCTTGGTTTGGGGAAAATTTCGAGGCTGCAGATGGGTAGACTTCGCGTCCTTAAAATCCCCACAATACTTTGCGCACGGACCAATTTCAAAAACCCTTGCGGAGAATGGCTGAACCGACGCAGCACACATTTAAATGTAAGTATGTAGTGGCGTAGAACATGTGTTGGTAAATATGTTACTTTGTTACCAAAAATGTGTTCCGTGAATGTAAAGCAAATTCATAATTAGATAGACATCGTGAGGTATTTATTTTCGGTACAGTTTATGTTGAAACCGTTAGAAAGAGTGGCACACTTGTTAGCCTGTTCCATTCTTCTTCGTTTTCCGAAGCCGTGGCTTGGAAGCATACTTGCTTCGTTTCTGAAGGAAGTGACTTGGAAGCACGCGACTACCAAGCCAGCATCCTCGAGATTGAGAAACGGCCACTGGGTGTTTCTCAATGTCGAGGAAGGCTGCTCCAGAGCCACTATTTCAAGCATACTACGTCATCGAGCCCCGCCGAAAGACTGTTCCAATGTCCAGCATACTTGGAATTCTACCGAGGCCGACGTACTTCGTAGCGAGACATTTCGAAGGCTAAACATGTGTAGACTCCGCAGTCTTAAATCCCCACAATGCTTTGCGCACGGACCAATTTCCAAATCTTTGGCGGAAATAGCGCTCCATTTAAGGCGGGGCCTCGCATATGACGCACACCTGTTAGCCTGTTCCACCATTCTTTGTTTTCCGAGGCTAGGAAGGATTCTTGCCTCGCTTCTGAAGCAAGTGACTCGGAGGACATGTGCTACCAAGCAAGCGTCCTCGACATTGAGAAACACCCTCTTTCTCCTGATTTATAACCTCAGTTAACATTTCCTGGATAACTTTATGGTCTTAATTTTTTAACACTGCTTCTGTCAACATCCTTTTTAGCTTCTGTCAGTATCCCAGTAAAAGTTTATTCACACTGAACCAAGGGCGCCGGAAGCGGGGGGGCCATTGGCCCCCCCACTTTACGGCCCTGCCCCACATTTTCGCAGCAGCGGATGCCGCGGAGCACTGTACACATCCCGTTTCAATAATTCCCCTCTACTCTAAAGTCGCATCTAAAAAGAACGCCATCTGATCTAGCTGTGTATATTTTGTTATTTTTTATTGTTATATTCAATCTCATTAGCTACGGGCATTTTTTAAGCTTGTAAAGGGAAGAACACAGCTCGCCTCTCCCTCGCCACTCTGCTCTTCCACAGCGCCGCTTCCCCTCCCTCCGCTGACATTATGAATGTAAGGCATATAGTAATCATAGATAACACCGCAGGGTCCGTTACAGTTTGTTTTCATCTGATTTCAATTAAACAAAGTCTTAGCTTTCAGAATATTAAACTTGTTTCGGCAAATTCAGATGATAAATACAGCTTTGAAGATTCGGCATAATTACAAGCGGAGAACGGAGTAACTTGACGTCACAGCAAGCATAACAACAGCCGGTGTTTCTCCTGAGAGTTTTCCCCGGGAAACAAACGCAAAAATACACAAACACACACGTATACACACACACACACACTCACGAGCTTCCCCCAGACCAGTAATCCAAACGAAAATATCTTCCCTTCGGACTACTTTGATCATTTGCTCCGCTAATAATCAATCAGATCGATCCAGAGAAGAGGAAATTAACTTTAAAGGCCTTTTTCTCAAAATGATGACTCGGTGACAGTCATTATATAATGTGACATATTTTGCTTAATATTTGGAGTACAAAAACAATCCTGATATCATTAGAAAGCTAGGAATCTCCTCTTTCCAACAGTGTACAACTCAAAATGTGTCTTCGGATCAATGCGACTGATTTCGATGGAGCAGGTCACTTTGCATTAGGTAAAATACAGCAGGCAGACATATCAGGAATAATATGTACATTTTAATCCAATCAAATAGGACATTGTCACACCATTCAAATGTATCCATGTACATTACAACCAATAACAAAGCTTAGATGTGTTTATTTGTTACGTTGTTTACGTTATGTGTTACGTTGTTCAGTGTGTGTCAGCCGTTAACCTATAGATAAACTTGCAAACATGTCAGAAGAACCGGCGCATAACAAAACAAAATACAGTCAAACTAAGCTGAAATTCAACAACTTGAATGTCACATCCCTGACATCCACAGCTCCGGAGCCTGGTCCTTCAACCATAGAACCAGCTCCGGAGCCTGGTCCTTCAACCATAGAACCAGCTCCGGAGCCTGGTCCTTCAACCATAGAACCAGCTCCGGAGCCTGGTCCTTCAACCATAGAACCAGCGCAGCCTCCAGATGAACCCCAGCAGCAGCTCTGCGGGCGCAGAGGCTGTCAAAACCGCCGCCGCCGCATCGTTGAACCGAAACAGGCTGGTTCCGACTGCATGGAAGTTTGTTGTTGGGACATTGTGACGGGCCAATAAAAGCTTATTTGGGCAAAGAGAAAGGTACTTCAATGCAGAATGGTACAAAAACAGAGAGTGGTTAATTATTTGCAAAACCACTAAACGAGCCTTCTGTGAAATATGCAGATGTGATGCTGTCAAACGGCGTGTAACTTTCTCCAAATGTGCAGATGACAGCTTTGTAAATACCGAGTACTGGAACTTTTCACAGAGCTTACTTCAGTCAAACACCAGTCAACATTCAGCCTGTCAAACAAGAGCGTAGCAGGAAAAAAGAAGAGATGGAATGAGCAACTGCGCTGTCATATGTGTGGGCTGGTCTGTATAGTTTAATTTACAGGAAAGGAGTGAGCAGAGGGTTGAGTTGTCCATACTTGTTCTGTTTTCTCTGTCTATCTTCCTCCTGAAGACCCTCTCAGACTTTCATTTGCTCGCGCTACTAAAGAGACACGTTACCATGGAAACCAAACAATGGTGTAGCTGTATTGAAGTCCGAGTGGAAATAGTAACATTTGGTGCGTTATGTTAGAATGAAACAAATCAGATTTAGTCAGAAATCGGGAGAAATGCGGGATAAATATGACCCCGGGAGGAAAACGGGAGTCTCCCGCGAAAATCGGGAGGGTTGGCAAGTAGGCTATGTCACATACACACGCACTTTTTGCCCCCCCACTTCTGAAATGAATCCGGCGCCGCTGCACTGAACCAGTTGATTAAGATGCCAATAATTCAATTCTTCCAAATGTGTACTTAAAATTCACTTAACATTGAATGAATTGGCTACTGTTGTTCTGTGGGATTGCTATGGTTTCTCTTTCAACATTATGACCCCCTATCATCACTGTCTGAGAATCTGAGCACCAACGCTTCACTTCTTTCCATTTCAACCCGACATGATGACAGTTATTGTGTGGGAAACTTCAAATACATGAGGTCATGCTTAAATTCCTCTGGGATTAGGCAACACTTAAGGGAGGATACCATAGACGGAGGAGACTCTA